GTGTTTGATATGAGTCATACACGCCTGTAATTTATTATACATTTCTAAAACTACTGCATAAATATGAGCTACATAAAAATATCTCCAGATTTTGTACAGTTCATGTAACTCAACTGGACACTGGAAACGCACACATTTCGGCGGCAACGCAATTAACACTTATGAACGAATTAGTATCATCTCCACTAAGTTGGCAAGCCTAAGCTACATTCGGGTACACTGTATGCGCCCACACCTCCTCTTAATGTTCGAAGTTTTCAACAACATAACGCGTCATGTACTAGGCCTATATCATTTGAAACATCACATGAAGATTTCATATTTTATCTCCATTTTCGAAATTCTCTCAAATCTGCAACCCGTTTAATGTCACCGTTAAGATTTCTTCGTTGACATGGTCAGCAGGGTTACTTATTCGGCACAAACTTGCTTATTAAGGTGATGTGTAGATAGGATTGCAGCTCCAAATACTTCCTTAGTCAGAGGGGCTATGCTTATAGGTTGTTCTGGAACAGAACGTAAACATGGGCGAGTTGGATGGCCATTTATTATAACAAACCTATAACCTGTATTCTTTCAGCTATAATCCAATTCTTAGCTCTATTCGTACTTCCTGCTGCAGTGATTTGTAGAATGTGTAGATTAGTGAGTGCTACAGTAAATCAATCCAAACCCAATATCTAGTTACTAACACAAGACAGAATTTTCTAACTGATGGAGAAACAGACCACATCTGTGGCCTAGTGGTCAGAGTTCCTAGCTATAGATCCAGAGATCCCGGGTTCGATTCCCGAAGCTACCAGATATTCTGAGAAGTAGCGGCCCTGGAATGGGGTCCACTCAGCCTCGTGAGGATAAATGAGGAGCTATTTCAAGGAAATAGCGGTTCTGGTCTAGAAAACTGAGATTAACGGACGTGGGAAACCGTTGTGCTAACCACGCGACACCCTCTATCCGCAAAAGTTGCACTAATTTCGCAGACAAGCGGCGGTTACTCCGTCGGTATAGTTCGCTTGCGGACTGAAACCACGGAGTTTTTTTTTTAAACCATTATTAACATTATTTATGTCTCATCGATTTCAAATGGTTTGTATGCAGAACGGAGAACAAAGTTAATGATAATAATACAACCTTCCAGTATTATGAGAGACAACAGTTTCACAGCTAAAGAATCATATTCAAGAACGCAAAGTAAACTTGAAACACTCACTGAAGAGTTCTGTCTTCTGAGATACAACGCCGTGCAACTGGTGAAAGTCAAGCGTGCTGCATGTAGGGTTTGAGATCCTCAAACCCTACATGCAGCACGCTAATCCGACCAGGGAACAATTTGTGAACCATACTGCAGACAATCATGAAGAAGTTCTAAAGCACCGCATATATGGCTTAGTATCGCCATATATGGCACAGTCAGAACTAGTATACAACAGAAAATAGCCATTAAAACGTTAGTGTACTGCGGGAATATTAATTACGACTGTTTCAAATGTGGGGTACCGTGTTTTATACGTGAGTGAAACTTTATCTCTGACTCTAAAGCATGAATGGCCACAGTGGCCGCGCGGTCTAAGGCATGAAATGTCTTCGCCTGCTCGAACACTGGGATCGTGGGCTCGAATCCCACACAAGGCTTGTATGTATGTGTTTATTCTGTGTTAGGTATCGGCCTTGCGATGGACTGATCCTCCCTCCAAGGAGTCCTACCGACTGTCTAAAATTAAGAAACAGAAGTCAAACGAATCGTCTCACGGGTGCCCTATGCTCCAAGTGGGAGAAACAGGAATATAAGAAGAAGAATGCGCATGAAGATAGTTGAGGAGACGAGGGAACAAATAAACGAAGACTAACTCGTACACAACGACGGGCTTCATAACTTGTACGGAAGATATAAGAAATTCCTGGAAAGTTTTCCTTCGAAAATCTCAGGGGAAGATACCACCTCGAATACGTGAGCATAAGTGAAGGGGTGATATTAATGAGCCTTGGAGAAACTGTGACGGAAGTATGAAACTGACGGCATTGGTCCAAGATACATTCCAAGAGCAGACATCTGCAAACAAGGTCCTAGACCTTGGGGTTCTTTACCAGCTGCGTACCTATGAGCTTTTGATGAAGTCTCCATGCAGTGGAGTCAAGCGGAGAGACCCTTGACTGGACACGTATGAAGAAGACCTACATTGCACATCTTAACTAACTTCACGGAGCTGAGTTCATGCTGAGAAGCGGAGAATCCCTCAGCTTTTTCCCTTGGCACTACAGCCCCAGTGGGCCTAGGCCTACCTCCATGAACTTCTCCGTTCACTTCGGTTTTTCTATATCTTACACTTTCGGTAGGACTCCTTGGGCGGGTGATCAGCTCGTCGCAAGGCCTCTACCTGTACACAAACACAGAAAAACGCACACACACAAACTAACCTTCCATGCCCTGAGTGGGATTCAAACCCACGATCCCTGTTTCCCAGCGAGCGAAGACAGTACATGCCTTAGACCGCTCGGCTACCGTGACCGGCAAATCCCTCAGCTTATGGAACCCTAAAGTTCATTGCCGCCTTCACTGGAGTTCACCATTGGACCCTATACTGAATCATATTAATTCAATTCACATACTCATATCCCATTTTTTAAGGCCCATTTTAATATTATCCTCCCGTCCACGCCCAAATGGTGTCTTCCCTTCGGACTTTCTACTAAAGTCCTGTATTCACTTTCTATCTACCACTTGCTACATTCTTATATGACGTTACAGAACCTCTGCAGATGAAATAGCTTCGTCAAATAACCTAAAATGGCCTTCTTAATTGTTAAGTTCGTTCTTCAACGCCGCTCTCAGTATCGAGACTATACGGCGTCGATGCTTCTCGTTCCAGCGACTGCACCACATTCACTACCCAACCTTCCATCAACACGAAATGGTCCGGATACTGATGACGTTGTTAAATAACCAATTTCAAAGAAATAACAAAATATACAAGGCTACAGCTACATAGGATATGAGCCATAAAGTTATATTGCTACCGTCTGGCACAATAAACAGATAGTCATACATGTTTCGGGACCGAAGAATAGGGAACAGACGCCTTCATATTGGATAGGTAAACTCAAATTAAGCTTGGCAGCATTTCTTATCCGGGACAGAGGGCTAGTTAACTGGAGAGGAGTTCTGAAAGCGGAGAGAACCAAACCTGAACTTCGCATTCCCCAGCTCTTGTCAGTTCAGTCAAAGTTTGCCGTCTAGGAGTATTAGGGCACACGGTAGGGTGGTTGGTTGAGGCAAGCCGGAAGGGAGCGGGTTCGATTCTCGATGAGGTCATTTGATTTTTCAATTGATCTATGGTCCATGTCGACGCAGCCTCTAACAGAAATGAGTGCCATAAATACTTCTGGGGGTACAGGGCGGCCGGCGCGTGAGGATTGCAACCTTACCGCCATCTGTGATCCGACTGTATAGAAAATGTGATAGCCTCGACGACTCACAACCCAATGGGCCTGCACGGCCTGTTGCAGACCCTGCCCAGCTCTAAACTTAGGGATACACACGCGAATTCTTCAAATTATACACAACATTAATTCTTTTATTATTTAATTAATAGCATATTTACAATCTACTCTCGATAATATGGAGTAATATGTAAATTTGTTCTAAGTAGATTTTCTTGAGTGGAGAATTCATCCACTGATGATACTCTGGGACAGGCCTTGTAGAGGAATGGTGATGGTTTCAATCTTCGTCATCTGCGGGTTGTGGTAGGTCAGACAGTCGCTGTCTCCTCAATCTTCTTATTACATTTGGTGGGTTGCTAATTTCTACAACTAGTCTGTTATTGTGTCCGAGTATGCTTTGATGGTAGAGTGTTGATAATCTATATATTTCTTCTATGACAAATTGGATTTGCAGATCATTACGGACAACATTAAAATGAAACTGCGGATGTTTTCAGCGACGCTAGTACGATCGACTAGAAGGGACTCCACACAATAGCTCTGCGCCGCGATGTACGTCAGACTGATCCGAATTTCAATTAAGTGTGAAGCGCTGTGAGGCACAGTAAAGTCCACGTAACTTCTAGGCTGCACAATCATATTTCTCTGCGCCGCCCCCTCCACAAGCAAACTCAATTTGGTAACTACACAATGAAAACACGTGTCGAGAAGTTATATGGATCTGAATGCCTGCCCTGCATGTCATCTCTATTACAAAAGTATCCATTTCCTGCAGACCATATCCAACTTTGGATTCTGTGTGACCCTTCACGTCCTAAAAACTGATACCTGTATATAGGCCTACACCATTACACTGAAACTCGACACAACCGAGTGACTTGACTTCAGAAGACGGCAGCGGAGACAAAGAAGAACAATATGCTTACTGGTTTTCTGCCAGAGTTTTGAAAGAGTGATGCAGTGGTGGACTAGCAGCTTTCCGTCATATGAACTAGAATGTTATGGAAAGTAGTTCAACTGATACAGCGACGGGATGGACGGTCGGGGTTCGACTTCCGGAGGATAGAGATCTTTCTTTCGCACTGTCTAGACCGGCTCTGGGGTCCACCCAGTCTCCTATTCAATGGGTAACTAGGGCTCTTTCCACGAGGTAAAGCGGCCGGGGCGTGAATCTAACCACTCAGTTCCAACTAGCGCCGACATCAAATATGATACTCCCCCATACGTCTTCATGGCATGGTGTTTACGTAATTAAGCACAGGGATAATTCNCGCTGACACCTAGAACAGCCACTTCATTCTTCTGCATTTCCGTTTTCAAATTAATTCTACATTTACCTTCTAACAATGACACGGAGTAGCTCAGGAGATGGATCAGTGGCGGGATCTTATTGACATTCCGGTTCCATAAAGGAAGGGCATTTCTTGAACAACTGAGCGACTATCGGCTTCTCAGGGAGGATTCTGTTCCATGAAGTTACGTTAGCAAGTCTAGCCGAAACACAAGTTTAGCTGTGCGCAATGCTCCGACATCCAAAGAGATGCAAGTTGCCTACTCACCAGGGGATAGCAAGCAGGTACTGCAGCAGACGGCGGTAGTCGTCAGGTTTGGCTCGCTCGCGTCGCGGTGTGGCGGGGAATGAGAGCACCGGGCCGCCGCGTCGGTCTCTGCCGCCGGTCAACACAGCTAGGCGCTCCTGAAGCAGCGCCATCACGTCCAGTGCTCGCAGTCCGTCCATCCTACGGGCTCCTGCAACGCAACACAATAATGCTTGTCAGCCACAGGCGCTCTTACCTCAGGAATTCAATTATTTTCCTGTTAGTTGGCTGCTTTCACGTGATCCCGTAACATCAGCGCCAGATCGGATACGCTAGAAATAAATGTTGTAACTGATACCTTCCATATGGACACCGATGGGACAGTTCGCTAGTGAGGGGTCCGATATTCTGCCGTCCGACTTACCGCAAGCAGTGCAAGTGCTTCCTTCCACACAGCCGCCGACTTACCGACGACGGTGGAGGAATTAAAGGATTCCTCTTCGCATCGTCTTTAATTAGACTATTAAAGTCTTTCACCCTTACCACAATGGAAAAGTGGATTGAAGGCTTGATTCACAACACATGGGAAATACGGTTTGATGGCATAATTGGCAGATACGTTTGGATTGTTTATGAATTTGAATGTTCCTCTGCAAGTACACAATTCGAGTATAACAGACATAACAATATGAAGAAGACATTCGTCAGAAACAAGCAAAACCGCTGAATATAGTATGCAGAGGCTTTTCATCTAACTCAACATCAAAATGATAACTAAAATGCAAGGTTGCAACCCATTTGGTGAGTCACGTTGTAACCAATGCCATATAACGTCGCGCCAGTTGTTTACGGGCGGGTTGCAAAGCGTAACAAATGAATTAAACTTACACTTGCGACTGTGGGAGCAAGTGGAACTACAGGGACGCGTTACTCAAATTAATCACATGATTCTGTCGAAATTAAAGTCACTATACGTGAAATACAGCCGGTCACGGTAGCCGAGCGGTCTAAAGCAAGTACTGTCTTCGCTCGCTCGGAAGCTGGGATCGTGGGTTCGAATCCCACTCAGGGCATGGATGTTTGTGTGCGTTTTTCTGTGTTTGTCTACAGGTAGAGGCCTTGCGACGAGCTGATCACCCGCCCAAGGAGTCCTACCGTATGTGTAAGATCTAGAAAAACCGAAGTGAACGGAGACGTTCATGGAGGTAGGCCTAGGCCCACTGGGGCTGTAGTGCCAAGGAAAAAAAAATACGTGAAATATAGATAAAATTTCACTGTACTGTATTTCATCACATGAACAGGTTCGAAAGGGCCATTACAGCGTCGTTAAGTGAGATATGGATTTTAACAGGCAAATTATCGATAGCGACCTAGAAATTAATAATGAAAAAATGGTCATGGAACACGAAGGATGCGGGCCTCCTACTTTACTCACATTGAAAAAAAAAAATAACTTTGCCAAAATAAATTATATCTCCCCTTACCTAAGAAAGTTATATGAAAAAAGTAACGCCTAACATAACCATAACCACTGATCTCGGATGTGCGTCAGGCTTCATGAAGCTTCGGAGATGGAGCAGTTCACACACAAGGCCATTACCACCAGCTCATCTAATTAGAGCTACAGAAACTGGCTGGTGGCACCTCACAGACTGATGGTGTACACGGACCTCACCGTCACAAGTAAAGGAACTCATGCAGCTTGGAGCTCCTTCGATTCAGGACATAAAATATCAATATTTTTCTTTTATTTTGCTTGGACTCTCTTATTACGCAAAGCGTTTTGGGGGCACGGATACAAGAGGGCTCCGCTATAAACTGCTTGTAAGTACACTTGGTCCTCGACACACGATAGCTTGCCATACAAACGGCGAAAGAACGAACTGTTCATTTTCATTATAATTTAATTTTATCTACTTATTTCTGTTATGCATGTGTAATGTGTTCTTCTGTATTCATTTATAAGTTAAACTACACACAATATTATAGGTCAAACAAGGTTTCTTCACATGCGCAGATACTCGGCCACTGATAATTGCACTATTTCTCATTGGAGAAGAGTACGAGTATATTCCGACCAAAGAACGACCTGCCTTATGAATGGGGCTTTGGAATACAAGTCGACAATAAAGCGTACGTCATCTGTTGAAGCATTAATCAGACATTCTAAATAATTCCGGAAGGTAATACACTGCCGGTCACAGAAGCAGCAAGGTCTAAGGCATAAACTGTCTTCGCTCGCTCGGAAGCCGGGATCGTGGGTTCGAATCCCACTCAGGGCATGGATGTTTGTGTGCGTTTTACTGTGTTTGTCTACAGGTAGAGGCCTTGCGACGAGCTGATCACTCGCCCAAGGAGTTCTACCGTATGTGTAAGATCTAGAAAAACCGAAGTGAAAGAAGTTCATGGAGGTAGGCCTAGGCCCACTGGGGCTGTAGTGCCAAGGGGAAAAAAATAAGGCATGAATTGTCTTCGCTCGATCGGACGCTGGGATCACGGATTCGAATCCCACTCAAGGCATGGATGTTTGGTGTATGCGTTTATTCAGTATTTGTGTTGTCTTGTGTTTAGGTAGCGGCTTTGTGACGGGCTGATCCCCCGTGCAAGGAGTCCTGCCACATGTGAGAAATGATTACCGAACTGAGTAAGAGGCCGGGGCCCTGAATGGGCTGGAAGAGCCATTGAAAACAAAATGACAACTACACGCTATACTACGGATATTCTTACAGTCCTTCCCTCGTGAAGTGAGCTGTATCTCCGTACATCCAGTAACACAACGACCCCAAATATTGGGGATGGTCTAGCGGTGAATATAAAGAACTCGCTTTAATTATAAAAATTGTCAATGTGAATGTTGGAACTTCATGAATTTCATATTAACAATGATTTTATTTGAACTAGTTTTAACGGATCGGCATATAGTGAGTACTTCAAACTTGCTCACTCTGATTTCTAACAATGCTGTGTTCACAATTCACATTTAACTTCTCAAGACACATCATTTTCTTATTGCTAGTGGGGTGGGACTAAGTCCCTTGTACTGCGGCCACTTCTGGCCTATTGTACCAGCCCCAGATGATAGGTGAGGGTGACTGTGGAGCAATTGGTGGAATGAAGATTGGCAGGGGAAAACGAAGTACTCGAAGAAAGCCTGCCCCAGCGCCACTTTGTCCACCACAAAACCCACTTGACCAGACCCAGGATCGAACCCAGGCCGCCGCGGTGGGAAGCCAGCGACTAACCGCTTGAGCTATGGCGCGGCCTTTAGAGACATGTGATGTACTATGGTGTACCAGCAAAGTGTGCCAAAAACAGAAGACATTTCACATAGTCTTTGAATAATAAGTATCGAGCGAAAGTTGCTGAACACTCGGACCTAACAGTCATAAAGTTTTCAGAATTGACACTACTGAGCACTCGTTCCGTTTCATTAATTTCCCTTCGAGCACTAGCTTGAGACCTCCTCCTTGGTGGAAAGTTATTGATGAGACGCCCTGATCCGCTCTCCCAAAGAGTATTAGCTCCGCCCAGTGCCTGAAGGAACATAAAGAGATGAAATTCTTCACAGTAGAACTCGCTATGTGCCTCCGATCTTGTCTTTGTCCATTAAATGTAGAACTGCAGTGAGCACAAGTACAAACATATTCTCCAAGGACAGACTTAAGGAAAGGAGGCTGTAGAGGGTGGGATAATAAAATCCCAGACGATAAACGGCCCAATAAAAAAAAAAAGCTTTAAAAAGAAAGGTCAAGGCAGCTCAAAGTTACATAGACAACGTAGAAAGCGTAATGAGAATGATCAAGTCATGGAGGATGAGATGGGCAGGGCATGTAGCAAGAATGGTAGCGAGGAGGAATGCATGTTGGATATTGGTGGGAAAGCCAGAAGGAAAGAGACCACTGGGAAGACCAAGGCGTAGGTGGGTGAACAATATTAAAATGGATCTTAGTGAGATAGGATGGGATGGTATGGATTGGATTGATCTGGATAAGAACCAGTGGAGGGCTTTTGTGAACACGGTAATAAAATTTCGGGTTCCATAAAATACTGGGAAATTCTTGAGCAGCTGCAAAATTGGCGGCTCCTCAAGAAGGGCTCAGCTTCATGAGTAAGTAAGAGACATCCCTTCACACGACTCAGAATTTTGGAAAATAATATATAATCATTGTAGGATAATTGGTGCTGTTGAAAAGGGAAGAGTGGCGAGGGTTGCATTCCGGAATCACAGGCTGACGCTGTGTACTCAAGTTCTACAGAGCCGTGATCTTTGCCATCAGAGAAACACGTGGTCCATTGCAGCGTCAAATCGATTACAAGAAGCCTCGTAACTTACTGGACGTGTATGTAGACTAGAGTGGGCCACTGATGTACTTAGCAGTATTTTACAGTACAAAATGCAATCATAAATTCCAAAGGGGGCACATCGAGTAAAGGCGATCACCTGTGATGAAGGCAAGCTGATAGGAATCCTACCACCAGCATAAGTAAACATTACTGGGCGAAGAAACAATGCAACGGCTGTAACGTCAAGTACAGCTGTACTTTACGTTTACCTCCACGTCGCAATTTTCCGCTATCTACACTGGAGGAATTCTTTTTGATCCAAAGAAATCACACAATATGAAATATAAAGATAAATGTTGGTTTCTTCCTAACAAAATTACACCTGTATGTATAAAAGCCTGATATGATTTCCCTGAAGATTTACCTGCGGAAGTGCCAAAACAATTATGTGTATTCTTTCCAGCATGGCTTCATGTGGACAACCCTTAACTGTAAGCATGTATACGCTATTGCAGTCTTGCCTTAATGTTGTTTTGAAGTTTCATTTTATAATACAACTGAATTAAACCTGTACAAGTTGACGACTCTAAACTCGAAAGGCAGGCAACGTCCTTGTTTTGTGTTGGAAAATTGAAACACTGAAGTGAATATGTGGCTGATCGTGGTAACCGTCTTTTCCAATACCTCGCTAATATTAATTAGAAGTTATTAAAATCACCATCCTGAACTATTTCGTACAAATATAGTATTTAGGGCAAATTCTACGTGTACGTAGCATAAAGTGACACGAACAGCCATGTACACGTATCTTTCCACGACAAATCTGGTAATATCTTACATGCCAGAAATCGAACCTCGATTTCTCGGTCGTCGAGTACTGCATCCTGGTCGATATTCCGGATCCCCGTACAGAATAGAATACTTTGG